AGACTGATTACATCATCTGCAAGTCTTATACAAGCCTTATTCAAACATTCAAAGGTTGTTTATATTTGCTGCTGAATAAAATACAGAAGACACTCAAGTAGTAGAGAGAGAGAGAAAAAAAAGTAATTTTGTGATATTATAATCACTGGATTTTTGTTCAAAACAAAAATAAACATTGTTTGATTTTTAGTGTACCTTCTCTAATTAGCTGAGCCACAAAGTCTTGCACTCTTCTGTTTCTTGAAAATTACCCACAAGTGTTTTATCTTTTTACCCGTCAAAAGTGCATTCATCCATGACCATCGACTGAATTATAATGCTAGATAAAGTCAATAAATTATTGTATTTCACAAATTGGCTCCAACATGTTGATTTGTGTTATGTAGGTAGAGAAATAACACAGTGAAACAAATACGACATGAATAACTTGGGAAAGCTTTCTTACTTCTCCCACTCTGAATACAAGTTTACCACTGGAATTCCTGAGGTTTCATAAATGTTTCACAGCTATCTATTTTTCCTCAAGTCAGTACGATTGTTGAATGTATTATAATAATAATAATAATAATAATAATAAATGGAATTTATAAAGCGCTTTTCACGGGACCCAAGGTCGCTGAAAGAACGACAAACAGACAAACAAACAAAAACACTACTAGGTGCAGCTGGAGAAGCGGCGAACAGTCTATGCCAGCGTCCACTCTCAGCCTCTACCTTGCAATAGTGCAAGGAGTGGTGATGCAAAGCTTCAAGGATAAATAGATAGCTAGGGGAGTTATGGAAGTCACAATAGTGCAGAAGAACTCAACCATCTTTTGTTTTGAGACTAATAAGAGGCATTACGGCCCGTCCACACAGCGGTGTGCCTTGAAGATTGCCGGTGGGCGTGTCTGAAACTCGACCAACAACCAATCACATGAATCTCCCGCCCCTGACACACAAGCAGCGGTTTGATTGGCTAGAGCTTGTACTGGCATATGATTTGATTGGCTGACGCTTCTGCCGAGGCTTCAAAAGTTGAACATTGCTCAACTTTTGCAGTGAACCACGGCAGCAAAGCTCCACGTCGCTTCCCACAATGCAGTTCGGTGAAAAGTGATGTCACCCCATTCAAAGTGAACGCACGCCGCTGTGTGGACGGGCCGTAACAAGGTGCCATCACTTTGGCAGGAGCCCTGAGCGAAGGACAAGAAACAAGGACTGCAGTTTGAAACCTGACACTAGTAGCCTTTACCACTCAGCGGAAAAAGAACAAAGCAACTTGTCCATCCTTGTTGTCAGATGGATAGAACGTCTAATGAGGTGGATAACTCACTGGCGGAGTCCTTCACTTTCTGTAATGAAGCAAAAGATCTGGAGCTCTTCAGAGTGAGTGTGAGCTACACAAGTAGCCGGGAATTAACACTGCCTCCTGTAAGAGTCCAATCAATTAAAAATGAGATGAAAAATAAAACTGGAGTCATGCCTAAACATGCGGGTAGGTGATGATAAACATTTAATGCCCTCACATGATGAGCTGGAGCTGAAGAGGAGAGATCCTGCGTGGTGTCAGCAGGCTCTTATGGCTCTGATTAGATTGAAAGCCAAAGGCAGCACACTGTGGAAAGTGCTGTTGACAAGTACCTTAATAGCTTCAACCGTGTACTTTGTCAGACCTGCCGGCTGAGGGATTGATTAGTGATGATGACGGTTTGCTTTCCTTGACATTGCAATAACATAAGATGTAAAGGTGGAGGCTGCAGAGGAGCTCTATTAGAAGAAAGAATGGGAGATCACATTCCCGCTCTAAGTGATTGGTGGCAATGGGACTGGCTGAAATGGAGGGGTTTGCTCTTTGCAAAACACATTTATTAATAATTGATGGAAAAACCAAGAGCTTGTTTGTAGAAGAAGAGCCAACAGTGAATACACCCTTACATTTTAGGATATAAAGGATTTAGGAAAGGGACTTGTGCAAAGCAGATCCTAGGTTCAGTAAAACAGCTTCACTGTGTATTCAATAACTGCTACAGTCACATTTTTCAATTCTCAGTGATGTCACAATGGGAGAGGCATTGGCCACTCAAGTTTATTTCTGCTCCATCTGCTGCCCATCCACTTGAAATAGACAAGATGACACCTCTGTAATTTCTATGGACATAATGCAAGTCAATAATGACAGTAAAACACATGAGGAATTAGTGGTGTTAACTGTAGTTGTCATTCTACATGCTTCTATTGTCAGTGCAGTATTGTGGCATTTCATTACTTGGCTTTATACTTGATTAACAAGTTTGCAAATGGTCCTTAACCATAGATTCAACATGTCTTTTTAATTATTGCTGTAATCAAACTTGCTGACCAAATGTTTCATTCTAATAAAATGTTCAGGCGATAATGCCGCCAAGTGGATGAGCCTTTAAACAGGTTGTTATTCAAGTACAATTATGGTAAGAAGAATTCTGGCTAAGCTGTGAGGCCAGCCTTTGGATGACCTTTTCCAATATAATTTTGCAGGCATGTTGAGCATTACTCAGCCACCTGGCTACTGCAGTTTCAGAGAAGAGGGCAATACTTATAGTTAATAGCAAATCTAGAGTCACTGTGGCGACAGCAGACCTCAGCTGCACCGGTATTCATCATAAGGAGATGTTTTTGTCCAAAAAGGATAACAACATACATCTCACACACACACACACACACACACACACACACACACACACACACACACACACACACACACACACACACACACACACACACACACACACACACACACACACACACACACACACACACACACACCACACACACACACACACACACACACACACACACACACACACACACACACACACACACACACACACAACACACACACACACACACACACACACACACACAACACACACACACACACACACACACACACACACACACACACACACACACACACACACACACCACACACAGCACACACACACACACACACACCACACAACATCACACACACCCACACACACACACACACACACACACACCACACACACACACACACACCACACACACACACACACACACACATCACACACATATCTTCATCCTTACAATTCCTAGCTGACAAGGTTTTCAAATGCCTAACAGTCTCCATGGAAGGATTTATGCCTGCTGGCCAGCTCAACATGGACAAGGGGACTTCTTCTCCCCACACAGCTGGCGGTTACTGCTCGGCTCTGCCTAATGAGATTGTGCCCGTCTCCTGGAACATCTACTCGAGAGGAGATGGGACCAATTAGTCTGCTGTTTGCCCCAAAGAGAGACAATCACCATAGCTCTGATGTTATTACTTCAGTGTCTCAGCTTCCAAAGTAATAACAAACATACCTAAACAAAAAAGGTAGAGAGCTTGTTTAGACTGTGATTGGTCAGAGTGGTCAGGGTGATAGGAAAGAGGGCTCACTCCTATTTCTGTTGATCAACATAATTGTAATGAAATGTTGTATATAGAGAGTCCAATTGTGTAGAGTCAAAAGCAATAAACAGTAACAGATCCCGTTCGATCTAGCAGTGCTTCTCAAAGTGTGGTCCGCGGACCACTGGTGGTCCGTGAGCGCCCCCTAGTGGTCCGTGAGTATATTGGTAAAATTTCACATTTGAAATAAATAAATACATTTAAGTTTTCCGCACTCTCGCGGGAATATCTCCGCAATGGAGCGAGCTTAAGTTTCACTTTCGATTGCATGATATAGCCCAGCACAACACCTTCATCACACATGTGGCCACTTGTTTGTACCGTTTTCAGGCGATTTGTAAAAAACGATGTGTTTTTGGATATTTGTAGAGTTAGGTGGTCCGCGAGTGTTTTTTTATTGGTTAAGTGGTCCTTGGTATGAAAACGTTTGAGAAACACTGATCTACAGGTATGAGGGAGGTCAATCTGTCATGACGAATGAGCCAAAATACAGGAAATAGCGATTACCGTAAAGGCACTATTAATTGCGCACTCAAAAAGGAATAGCTGCTGATTTGACTAAGCAAACGCGAGAGACGGCTGAGTTGACCACAGTTATGCAACAGCAACCGAAGCTAAACTGACTATCTTGACTACTTGTTGCTATCCTATTGTGACATAAGCCGTTTTCTACAGGCACATTTTACCGGCGTATTTTTCATTATGATTCTACTTGTGATAGTCGGACATGACAACCTGTGCAGCCCGTGTATTGATTCCATCTGATAGCTATAATACAAAACAACACTTCTGCCTCCTCTCCACAATGATCAATAACAGCGAACGGAGGTACAAATAAACAGAATCACACGAAGCCTGGTTAGTGTTGCCAGACTTTATAAAGTGTGTTAATTTTTTATAAGTGTGTGGTTGCGTTCTAGTCACTTTGCTCAGCGCTACTGCTTGTTACAACTTTCATTTTCCGTACTCGCCATAAACTGTTATTGCTCAGGTTAATCTAGCCCCCTTCTGACGTGAGCGTGGTTCTTGCCAAGCAGCCAAGTGGGGTCAGCTAAGAACCGGTTTTCGGTGTTTAGAGCCGGCTCCGCTGCGGCTGAAACAGGAAGAACCAGAGATAGATCAGGCTATAGCCCGGAACTGGCTCTGGAACCGGTTAATAATAATAATAATAATAATAATAATAATAATAATAATAATAATAAGAAGAAGAAGAAGAAGAAGAAGAAGAAGAAGAAGAAGAAGAAGAAGAAGAGGAAGAAGAAGACGAAGAAGAAGAAGAAGAGAAGAAGAAGAAGAAGAAAGAAGAAGAAGATAAGAAGAGAGGAAGAAGAAGAAGAAGAAGAAGAAGAGGAAGAAGAAGAAGAAAAGGAAGAAGAAGAAGAAGAAGAAGAAGAAGAAGAAGAAGAAGAAGAAGAAGAAGAAGAAGAAGAAGAAGAAGAAGAAGAAGTTATTGTCATTACGTAGTAGGTGTACTACGAAACGGTTTCTCTGCATTTGACCCATCCTAGTGTTAGGAGCAGTGGGCTGCCATTATGTACGGCGCCCGGGGAGCAGTGCCTTGCTCAGGGACACCTCGGTAGCACTTGGTCTTTCCGGGACTTGAACTAGTGACCTTCCAGTTGCCAAGTCAAGTCCCTATGGACTTCGCCACCACCGCCCTGTTCACAGACGACTTGGATTGCATATGTTTACACAGGGAAATCGACACTGTGGTGTTAGAAAAAGCTGTATTGACAACAGCACTGGTTGCCATGAAAGATGTGAAACGCACCTCTTTGGTTGAACCAATAAATGAAAGGTGGGTACATTTGACGGGTATAGCCCTTTCTTCTTAGCAATGTTTTGCGATACAATGAGGCATATTTCAATAGAACTGTGAGAGTAAACAACATGAACAAAGCACATACGTCAATTTGTCCTCGACACCAAACGCATAGTTCACGTCACTTCCGGTAAAATAAGTCATGTGACTCGTCAAAATGGCGAGTTAAAATGGTTGATGTTATTTCGGTAATTAATCAGCTTAAAATCACTGATAACGTCATCGGATTAAAAAAAAAAAAAAAAGACTGGCAGAGACTGGTCTGTTTTATCGGATGATAATTATTTAAAAATGCGTATCATGAGGATTGCCTGTCTTTAACCAATTAAATCTTGGCAAGTCAGTAACATGAGGTATTTTTTTAAATGCTGGCATTTCTTAAATAATAGACCACCACAGGAGTCATTTTGAAAGAAAGCAACCAACATGAAAGGAATTGAAAATAGCATGTTATAAATGTTCATGAGACTACTGTCGCACTGAGAACGAAAGTATCCGCTTAATGTAGATCATTGGTTTCTGAATGTGCTTGCAAGATATAAGATATAATTTAATAGTTTAGTCTGCTGTCTTTTAGAGAATTGTGTGAAGATTGACACTCTTAGTATGGAACTTCAAATATGAAATTAGCTTAGCATGAAGTCAGGCAACCAGTGTAAACGCTACACAAGACTGCTGGGTGGACAGATAAACTGTTTGTTTTTATGCTAAGCTATAGGCTAACTATGACCTGTCCTGACTCTGCACTCAACACACGGGTGTGGTATTGTTCTTTCAACTAACTGCTTGGACGTATAAATACTTGGACGTTTTGTAAAGGCTTATTGATATCCTTTCTGACTCTTACAAGTTGAAAAGGTAAACGCATTACCACAGAAAACCGAAAAAGGTGGTGTGCAAGACACCTTAGTATTGGATTCAGCAATGGTTGAGAAATAGTGCATCAGGTTCATCAATATATTTGACCAGCACCACTCTTGCATAACTGTTGAACAAATGCTGCACAAACAGATCATTCATTTGCCTGCAGAAGCTTTTTCTAATACACATTCCACCCCCCCCCCACCCCCACACATGCTGCTTCCACTTCACATCTCTCCCCCAAATAATTTGGTTTGACTTCTGTCCAGAACAGCGCCTCATACATAAAGATGGGACCAACAAAGCCACCATCAGTTTCAATGCAATTAGTGAATCACTGAGCATTTTGAAACAATCAATTCTGTAATTGGAAAAGTTTTTAAAGTCAACCGTCCCTTCTTTTCTGTGACAGATGTGGATGGCTTTTTTCTCACAGAAAAGTTTCTATTTGAGGTATTTAAATGCTTTTGGAGAAAACAATGCAAAGCTTCTTTTTTTATCCAGTAATGTTGAGTAGCCACATTAAAACAAAGACATGATTTTAAACAGAAATAGATGTGACAGATAAGGAAGAGAAAAAGTGCAAAGGTCATCAGGATGTGTAGAGGAGAGAAGTGAGGAGAGTACAAATTCATCAGATCAGAGAGAGCTGCTGCAGACTCCTCCATTCACCTCCACTCCATCATAACTCATCTTCACTTTAATATCTGTCTGACTGAATTACAGCCCATTGATCAATCTCCACATGTTATTTTGGATAAAGAACTGGCTTTTCAAAGATTTCCGGAACATGGTTTTGTGGCTTCTCAAATAATCAGCCAATAATCCCTTCTAAGTATTGGTAACGTGTGGAGAATCAATCATGCAGTGAACAAGCTGGGATGGAGTTTGTAGAGGATTATTTCTTCGCCTAATTGATCGATTCGGCTGAGCGGTTGTCAGGACTCTTGTAGCCTTGCAGTGTGGTGAGTATGTCCAGACTCCAGCAGAGATTCAAACCCAAACCAATGCCTCCAGAAAGACACACTGCATGGATGCTGAATCTAAGATATGCAATGGTTTATTACTCTGAACATCCAAAGCAAAAGAAGACTGGGTATTATTGTTAAAGTGGCCAGCAAGATCATTGGTGAACAGCACATATCTTCTATAGGCAGGTCTAAAGGAATGCAGGAGTGACTTTAGAGAGCTTAAAACATCCTTTCTTCGAGGCATTGGATCCTCCCAGGTCAAAGGGACCGGGTTCCCAGGGCAGAGTTAGTGCAATATATTAAAAATGTTCCTTTGCAATGAACATGCTTCATTTGCACAAAAGGTCAATTTTAACTTGCATCTATGCACTTTCTGCTAACACTTAGGACTATAGCACTTTTCCAACCTTAAAAGAAAACTGATTATATGGCTTAGTTACTGTAGATACTCGATTCCGATTGGTCAATCTGGGCATTCAGACGTTGTTGATTCTCACTAGCAGACCGTTGCTGAGGAGGATCCAGGGACTTTGTGCAGTCATATCAATCCGTAGAAAGAAGCACGGCCAATTTAACGTCATACGTGGACAACAAACATTCGTTTTTATCCATCAATGAAAATGACAATGAAAAACACCATGGAATACTTATTGAATAATCTGTTTTATATTTGTGGAGAGCACGAAACTATGGATTCCCTCAATCCCTTGTCAACTGCCTACAGGACATACAAAACTGGATGTCATCAAACCTGCTCAAAATCAACAGCAATAAAACAGAGCTCATGATTGTGGCACCCAAGGCGCAGCTCCAGAAGGTTGGAGACCTGCTTCTCTCCATTGACGGCTGCTCCATCTCCCCGTCCAATGAAGTCCGCAACCTGGGAGTCATCAGGCTTACACTTGTACACACAGCTGCCACACCCTGTACCACACAGCATTCCACACTCTACACTCGTCGATCGGAGCGCATTTTCTCATCCGCCTCACGGAGCGTGGAAAGTGAGGGGCAGGGCTGCCTCTCTTCGTGGAGAGGAGGTTTACCTGTGCACCTGTGCTGTGCTGCTGTGGGGAGGTTTTTTTCCCCGGGAAGTCGCAGAGAGACGGAGCGGCTACACATTGTTGCTCGGGCCGGGGCCCCCTTTTTTCCACCTGTCCAGTTCTGCTGTGGCGGAGACCTGCTTCCACTTGTCGTGTGCTGCTGTCCTGGCGAGATTTTGCCCCGGGGGCGTAACGGAGACGCCGGAGCGCTTCGCGTTCGGGCTGCGGCCTGCTTTACACCTGCTGTAGCGGAGGCCTGTATCCACCTGCTCCACCTGTCGTGCTCTACGGTGCCGAGGACGTTTTACCACGGGGATATCGCGGAGAGACCGGTGCGCCTCTACGCCTCGAGCTGAGCCTGCTTCGCCTATCCTGCTGGACTGAGCAGGTTCTGCACCGGGGATATCGCGAAGAGACCGGAGTCCGGAGCGCCTCCACGTTTCGGCCTGCTTGCGCGCCTATCCGGATGCTGTGCTGGTCTGGGAAAATGGCCCATATCGTGATTCTGCTATGCCTGTTAGCTATTTTGGACAATGAGAAGTTCTCTCGTCATCCTGAGAAGTCGACTGGATTAAGGTCTGTTCTACCGCCCGCAGTGGACATCCCCTGTAAAGGTTCGGATGTGTTACACAAACAATTACTGGTTGCCTTGTCACAGACATTCAGTTCGACAAATGTTTGTCTTTCTCACTTGCCTGCTATGATGGTTCTTCAGGACTCCTTCTTGAGCTCTAATCTCACTTTTGCGGAGTTTACTGGTGACTTTAAAGCAGATGACAATGTATGTGTGTCGGTTAAGAGGAAAAGGTGCTTGGTTTTTTTGTTATTATTACTATCAAGGAATGTACAACTAAACCCTGGACCGCCCAGCAGCAGTAGTAGTCAGATAGCTACTCCTGCTGATTTTAATTCTAGATCTGGGTTGGGATTCATTCACTTAAATGTGCGCAGTCTGTTACCTAAATTAGATTTTGTCCGCATTTGGGCGAGCTCGACTGATGCTGATTGTCTTATCAGAAACGAGGCTAGATAAATCTATTTTGGCCTCTGACATCTACTTAAATGGTTATAGTGTATATCGTACCGACCGTCCTAAAAAAGGTGGTGGCGTTGCCATTTATGTGAAAAATAAGTTTTGTGTAACCAAGATGGTTTCCAAATCTATTAGTAAACAACTAGAATTTTTTTGCTTTAAATATCGAAGTAGCAAAGGGTCAACAGGTCATGGTGGTGGGCTGCTACAGACCGCCCTCAGCTGTCAAGGACTCTTTATCTTCTTTGGCAAAACTTTTATCTCAACTTGACAAGGAAATAGTGCTGCTTGGTGATTTTAATTGGGACTGTTTAACTTCTGTGTCAGAGGATTTAAAAAACCTTTGTATCTCTCTGAATGTTACTCAGATTATAGACAGTCCTACTCGCCCTAACATTAAGTCCCCAAATAAATCCTCCCTAATTGATCTCATTTTAACTAATGTTCCCCATAAATACTCATCTGTGGGAGTATTTGCAAATGATCTGAGTGATCACTGTGTTTTAGCCACAATTAGGGACACAAAAGTCCTAAAGGGTAAACCTCGCATTATCAGTAAGAGAGACAAAAAGCATTTTGTGGAGCAGGGTTTTGTGCATGATCTGTTTGGGTTTGATTGGGGTAAAATCGATCTGTGTGCTGATGTGGAAACCGCATGGTCTTATTTTTATCTTGGTTTTATGGAAATTATAGATAGACATGCACCCCTGCGTACATTTAGAGTGAAGGGACGAGACAATCCTTGGTTTTCTGCTGAATTATCTAGTCTCCTACATGAGAGAAACAAGGCCTGGGCAAAGGTTAGGAAATCAGTCTCAGAGGTAGAATGGCTACGCTTTAGGAACTAAGAAATAGCTTCACATCGCAAATCAAAAGTGCTAAATCTAAGTCTTATCTGTTAGTTACCACAAAGAACCTGAATAATCCTGGAAAATTTTGGAAAGCCATAAAATCGATATCCGTAATCAAATCAAGTTTTATTTATATAGCACATTTATAAACGATTTTTGGTCGAGCCAAAGTGCAGTACATATAATAAAAATAGCCTACAGTAGAGACACTTTACAGCAAATACAACAGCACAGATTGTTCAGAATATCAGTATGAGAAAAACGACACCCTCTATCCTTAGACCCTCACATCGTACAAGGAAAAACTTCCGGAGAAAAACCCACAGTTTAAGGGGAAAAAAATGGGAGAAACCTCAGGGAGAGCAACAGAGGAGGGATCCCTCTCCCAGGACGGACAGACGTGCAATAGATGCCCTGTGTAAATCGAAGAGATAATACATTTTACAGCATATAGACCGAATGTTAGGAAATGCATGTGTCTGTAATAAGAAGATGAATCCACGAGAATGTCAGCTACTCTGAGTGGATGATGGTAATGAGCTACCTCTTTGCATTACCACAGCATCTGGCACTATATCGGACAGGGCCACTATGTTAAATTGTTTTAATGAGCATTTTGTGTCCTGTGGCTCTCTGTTTGATTCTGTCACTAACTCTGCTTCTGTGAACACCACAGTCCGTGACTCTGAAAAACGTGTTTTGGAAAACCCTTTTAGTTTTACTCCTTTTACTGTTGATGTTGTTCGTGAAGCTTTAACCAAGTTAGATCCTAAGAAACCGGCTGGCCCGGACAACGTAGAGCCTTTCTTTTTAAAGATAGCTGCAGATTTTATTGCTCCACCTCTTACTACTCTTTTTAACCTCTCCCTCAGCTCAAACACAATTCCAAAATGGTGGAAGTCAGCGTATGTCCTGCCTCTACTAAAAGGTGGGGAGGCCACTTTTTTAAATAATTATAGGCCCATCTGTAAATTATCAGTTCTGGCGAAGGTTCTTGAACACCTAGTGAGTGAACAGGTAAAGGTGTTTTTATGTACAAATGACATCCTGTCTAAACATCAGTCAGGCTTCAGAAAGCAACACAGCACCATCACTGCCACAATGAAAGTGGTGAATGATGTGGCGAGTATTTTAGATAATAAGCAGAGTTGTGCAGCTCTATTTATTGACCTTTCCAAAGCGTTTGACACCGTCGATCATCGCATCTTAAAGCAGAGGCTACTCAGTATTGGCATATCCAGCCATGCAGTGGGTTGGTTTGTGTACTACCTCTCTGAAAGGTCCCAATGTGTTCATTTTGATGGGCTGTCTTCTGAGTGGTTAAACATTACTAATGGTGTTCCTCAAGGTTCTGTTTTAGGTCCACTTTTATTCTCCATCTACATCAATAGTTTAGGTGAAAATGTCGATGGAGCAACTTTACATTTTTATGCGGACGATACCGTGATGTACTGTGCAGGTCCCTCCATTAAGGAGGCTGGTGTTACATTTTAAGCAGTTTTTAACATTATTCAGACTCAGCTCTCTGAACTAAAGCTTCTTTTAAATGTTGATAAAACCAAGGTAATGCTCTTTTCAAAAGCTAAAAAGACACCAGAGCCTGTTGTAGATATTGTAACTACGCAAGGAATACAAATTGAAGTGGTTACCTGTTACAAATACCTTGCTATCTGGCTTGATGATTGTCTCACTTTTAAACGTCATGTAAATAACCTGCTTAAAAAGCTGAGGGTTAGGCTAGGTTTCTTCTACAGGAACAAGTCCTGTTTCTCGCTTGAGGCAAGGAAAAGGCTAGTCACTGTGACCTTTTTACCTGTGCTGGACTATGGTGATTTGATTTATATGAATGCACCTGCCAATTGCCTGGTCAAGTTAGATGCTGCATATCACAGCGCACTGACATTTGTGACAAACTGTAAAGCATTAACCCATCACTGTACCCTGTATGCAAGGGCAGGTTTGCCTTCGCTAACTACGGAGGCTCAGTCACTGGTACATTTTTATATACAAAGCCATGTTAGGGAAACTTCCATCCTACATCTGCTCCCTGATCTCACAGCGAATTGTAAGTGGCTACTGCCTGAGATCGCATGCTGTAGTTTTATTAAATGTGCCAACTGCTCGGACTGTCTTAGGGAAGATAGCTTTTAGATGCGCAGCTCCTCTGTCTTGGAATAGTCTGCAATTGAAATGGAAACTGAGCAATCTGGTGCCACTAAATGTTTTTAAAGCTCGGTTGGATGCTACTCAATCGGAAGCTGTTGGTACCTGCTCATGTGGATAGTTATTGTAAATTGTAATCCCTGTAATGATGCTGTATGATGTCCTTTTTGTTGTTCTGTTTATGTTTTTATGTTTCATGTGGAACCTACTTGAGCAGGTCTCCCTTGAAAAATAGATCAATGATCTCAATGGGATACACCTGGGTAAATAAAGGTTTGAAATGAAATGAAAAATCCTGGACACCACCCTCTCTTTCCAGGCGCACATCAAATCTGTTACCAAATCCGCCTTCTACCATCTCAAAAACATTGCCAGACTCCGGCCTTCACTCTCTGACTCTGTGGCAGAAACACTCGTACACACCTTCATCACATCCCGTCTGAACTACTGCAATGGAGTCCTGTCCGGGGTTCCCAGCAAAACCCTGGACAGGCTCCAATACGTCCAGAACTCTGCCACCAGGCTTCTCACCCGCACCAAGCCATGGAAAGAGGATAAAAGAGCGCTGGATGTCAGAGAAATCCACAGAAGAAGACAGACAGGAAGTAAACACTAACGGGAACCTGGTATGGGCTCTGGCATTGTTCAAAGACTTGTTAATTGAAAAGAAAATGTGAGCAGACGTGGACAGTTTCAGCATGTGGTGAGGGGGTGTGTAAGCATTTCTGTGTGTGTTTCTTTGAACACCTCTTGTTTTTATGTAATTATACGACTACTAGAGTCGCCAGTCCTGTTCTCCATCCAGTCTGTCAATCTAGTGGTGTCTCTATCGGTCTGCCATTACTCCTCTCCAGCGCTGAATGGCTGATACAGGCTCTCAGCAGGGCCGTGTCTAGGAGCTTAACAGGGCATATATCTGCCTGCTCTTCTTTGACCACAGGCAACACTCTGCCCCAGTCTGAGGCCGCCCAGCTGCTCTATTCTGAGCCGCATGCATGGCTAGTCTGTCTGGAGGAGACAGATTGCCTGACACAACACCGCCACTGCCGCTGCCTCTGTGGCGTCCTGAGGAGATAGCTTCCATTATGAATAAAGTCAGTCTGCTGAATTCATCCCAGAGTCTGTGACAAAGTGAAACTGACAGGAATAAAGGCAATGAATTCTGATAAATCATTAAGTCTTGTTTATGTACACTGCAGTATGGTCTGGATTTGACATGTCCTGCATACCTGTTTTTATATATTCTAACTTATAATTGCACAATTGCCTAATTTAAACAGAACCCGTTTAAAAAAGGGTGACTTTTATTTATTAAATATGGATTTTTTTCAACAGTTACTTTCTACTTTTTGTGTATGTAATGTATTTTTCTGTCTATATGTATGGTTCTTGTATATGCACCAGTACACCGAAGCAGATTCCCTGTACTTGGAGGCTGACTCAGATATTTCTTGGCTTTAATAAGATGCTCCCTGCCTATGCATGAGTCAGAACGCCATTATTTCTCTGTGTAAAAAATGTCAAATCCTTTCATTTTAACTGTATTCGCATTAAGCAGTAACATGACTGCTTTTTTCCAGAATGCCAGTGATGTGGCACATAGCCAGACATAACACAATTCTAATGTCTCTTTCTTATCTACAAGCATGCCTCATCATGCACATTGGCTCAAGCCTATCAGCAGGCAGTTAGCATATGGTCAGCTGTAGCAGAAAATGTCAATATGGAAAGATTTAGACTCTAAATGGTGTCATTCCTCTATTCTTGAACACAACTGCCAACAAAAGGCTTTTTGAATGGGGGCCTTGGTTCAACAACGAGTAATACAAGGGCAATATCAATACTGATACCGGCACTTGTTGCTTTGAAGAGAAATAACTTATATCATCAAAGCAATGTATTCAGATCAAAGAGGGGAATATTTGTATTAATAGGCCACTTCAGAATTATTATGAAAAGATGTATCAAACCAAAATATTTTGACAGTAACTTAAGCACTTGCAACACAACAACTTTGAACAGATAGATAACATACATGTGTGAACTCTCTGAACTAATGAGGTACAGTAAGATTGCACACACAAAACTGCATGACACTGTTTTTATCAACAATGTAAAGTAAATTTAGTATCAGTTATTACAATTCTTTATTCATTCACCCACTGCTAATGTGTAACATAACAGTGTCTTCCCTCTGCTTATAAACTACAGTTAATAAATCCTGTTAAGCCCCAAGGACCCCCTCGGCGGGTCCTTTTTTTATCTTAATATTTAAGAACCTATTAATGTGTTATACCAGATTAACAGAAATAATCTCAGCTAATTGACGATACAAACCATTTTTACCAAAACAAAACACAAGTCTCATA